CTGCTCCATCCTTCTCCTTCTCAGATGCTCACCCTCCGTCTTGGAAGCCGTGTTCCTGCTCGCCTCGCTCTTGGGGGCCAGAAGGATCGTCTCTGTTCTCGTCTCTTCATATCGTCTCCGTATGTCGTCATGGTCAACTTATTCAAGTTTCACCTATCGCCCGCCCTGGCTAGAGCCTTGCGGGATCTTTCGACGAGGATCAAACGACCCTACACATTGACAGTCGTGGATATCTCAGCCCTTTTTGGATGTCATAACACGAAATCTGGCCCATCGGGGCGGTGCTCGAAAGTTGGACGGACCGATGGTAGCCCAAGTGGGCCAAGACCTTGTCACAACCTTGGTGAGGAATGGTGTGATGGGGTCGTTCCTCACCGGGAGCCCGGTGGCCCGGGGAAGGTCGAGTGAGCTCCTGCAAAATACCGTATCCAGGAAGAACCACTGCAAGCCACGATGCGGAGTAAAGGGCAAAGAGGATTTTCTAGAGCCAACGGGACTCGGGAAACCTCATTTGCGTGCAATTACCCCAATTCTGCAGACTGCTCGAAGGGGGGAAAGCTGACCGGCCAAGGTGTGTCGCCTCTCGTTCCAACTCGCGCGCAATCGTCTCGTGTATATGCAGTTGGACGTTGGATGCAGGCCAAGCATAGTCTGCAGGAGGCACAGGCCGAGGGTGGCGTCCGACGACGACGGCACAATTCTGAAGACTGGAAGCAGAATGCAGGGCAAGACAACAGTCGACCACGGACATGTGAGCTGGTTGCCTTGTTTGTGAACGAACCCCCGGTCTTTGCAATTCTGACAGAGTTCGCCCAAGGGGATCCGACAATTTCATTTCGCCAAATTGAACCGTGGCTCGCTGATTCCAACGAGGATGCGGGCTAGCGTTTGGCACTATTGACAATTCGACATAAACTCGCCGCTGCTGCAGAGACAAGTCTTCCCAGCAGTATGGAAAGATGAAGAGAGTCGGTCGGGCTGGACAAGGGATCGCCATTTTGACACCCCCCGGAAGATTCCTCGATGTGACGCTGAGGTTTCGTCGGATGGAATTATCCATCTCGTTGATCGACGGGAGCCCGAAGCGACTCCGCTAGGCGGGCAGCAAAAGAGGGCAAAATAGCAACGCTTCAGTCTGGCGGACCCGACGATCCGACGATGAGGGTTGTGTCCCGTCTTTTGCGGCCATGCCCAACGGAGGTTTTTTCCTCTGTTCCCTTTTTCTCGCTTGTCGTGTTTGCCGTTGGGGGAGCTTCCTTTATCCACCCTCGATGGCACCTGTCAAAGGGTCTGGTCGTTCGAAAAGAATTTGAGACACGGCCAACTTTGGTTTAGGCCGGACTGGAGCGTTGCATCGCGTGGCTCTGGAAAGAAAGCTCGGGGGGCACGCGTCGAGTAATGATCTTCGCGACGTGGGCTCAGACTGTTCTCTTTTCGACACAATCGTTCGAAACTTCGGGATTGCGAGGATTTGACGTCTTGCTCTGTTGGTGCTCCGATGCGACGTCGGCCGCGACGCTTTTCTGGGGCCGTTGGGGATGTTTTTTCTTTTGCTGTTTGCGCGCGCCGCAGTACCGTTCTGCCGCCAAACGCGCGCGGCGGAGATGCGCTCCGGTATTTGATCTGCAAAGCGCGAAGCTTGCGAAGCTACGAGGCTGGGGTTTCACTTATTTTGCGCACTTTGGCGGTGAGGCTTGCTGCGGTGTCTCTCAGGTCGTGGAGTTCGTTGTTGTGCGACGGACTTGTCTCCGATGTCTCTACCGGAAGTCGCGGTTTGCTGCTCGTTCGGCGACCGATAATTGCAGACTGGGCGAAAGTGGCGCCTGAAGATCGCCATCTGATAATGACCCGAGTCATGCTCGGACAAGGCCCCCTTTGTTCGTTCCCGGGCTATGGGGACCTTGGATGGAATGGAATGTTCCTTATCGAGTGGGGGATCGATGATCGCGTGGCCGGTCTTGTCGTCCTTGGCCTTCGGGAAATGTCGATTCGTGATTTCGGGGCTGAACAGGGGCGACCCAAGTGGTTGGAGAGGGCGTCTTTGAGATTGACGCTTTTGGGATACATTGGTCTGGGCAGAAAGTTTCTCGGATTGCGAAGGCAGTTCTGTGTGGTGATCTCAATATCCGACGACACTGGGTCAGTGTCTTGGATTAGTGTCCATTCGTCTCCGTGGTTGTTTGGTACTTTCAGGTTGACAGCCTCTGATGCATGGAGGGCTCGGAGGATTCGAGGGGTGGCATCCAACCATCTCGACGAGGCAACGGGAGAGGGTGTGAGCGATACGTGTCTGGGTCTTTCGATCGCTCTTTTGGCGTCTGTTGGGTAAGTGTACCTCGGACGCCGGGGTTGTCGATCATAGTCCACGACGACACGTGAAGTTGGAGATGCCCTCGGGGTCAAGCTGACGGCTGCCTCTTTGCACCAAGACATCCTCACTGGCACCACATGTACTCAAGTCACGCTGCATGGTCATTTGCAAGTGCATGTCAGCTCCTCTGAGAGTAAGCTAAGGTCGTCAAGTGGCAACTTGCCAGGTATCTAACAAGACGTGCCCTCGGAGGTCGGCGACGAGCAAAAGAGGGGCCACCACAAACAACCAAAAAAAGACATGCAACACCAGGCATTCGCTGGTCGTCTCCGACCCAACTACTACTCTGGCCCTCACTGGTTTATCGATGGGAGAGCGGACGGGATCCCGAGTTCTCCAGTGGGTGTGGTCGCATGTGTTTGTGGACGGGGTGGAGGATGGTTATGAGGTCGGTGGTGATGGGTCTCAGCTTGGTTGGCTGAATTATCTGGTGTTGAGAGTCGGAATTTGGTGAGAAGCCAGGCAAGAGGGTCTGAGTTGAATTAATTTAAGGCACTTTTGATTGATGTCCAATTCGTTGCGTGAGTTGTCTCTGGTGAGAAGTACTTGAAAGGGGTTGAAGGGGTTGTGATAGAAAGCTCTGTAATTTAGATGTCGTCGACACTCTAGTGGCAATAAAATATATCCCCCGAGACTATATGTTGCAGCGGGTTTGACTACACAGATATTAGGTTACGGCTCGAGACACGTTATTGACGATATCTTCCGTTCAGCTGTCCTTTCTCACTTCCCTGAGTGTAATCATGTCTAGAGAGGACATGAGAAACGATGATGGGGTAAGCCTGGAATTGGTGAAGTGCAGGAAGACAGCGCTTGATTGTCGATTCAGGGCTGGCACTAAGATGGTTGAATCTCAAGGCAGGATACTCATAGTCTACCGGGCTGACAATTCTTAGCCCAGCACAACAGACGGCGTTGGCACCGAGGCTTTGTATCCCCCGTCATGTGCCTTGGTCTTGAGATGAATGTATCTAGCTCAGCCCGCCTACTTCTCGCTGTCTATGACGCATGGTTTGGTCGGTCCCGAGTGTGAATTTGCTCCTTTAAATACCTTGACCGGGTGAAGTTCCGTTTGAAGGCCAAGCAATTGATGTGGGGTAACGATCCGCACATAGTGCTCCGATAGTTGCTTGCAAAGAGGTCACATATTTACAAACTATGCAGCTGTTGGGATCCAGTCCTCTGTTTCCCCGCCCGTTTCTGTACGATCGCGGGCGTTGTGATCTTGATTGTTTCTCGTAGTTGTTTGTGAATGTGTATTGATTGAAGAATACGATATGGATGGAGAGTCTTATGCGATTGTATAGATAGGTTCATTGTGTGCACTCGAGTCCTGGGAGGCGTACCTACTGGTTAATGAGTTTCTAATTTAAAGACAGAGCAGTGGAATGACGGTGTATTTCTGGTTTGTGACCAGATTGTGTGATTACTCTTTGTTATTTATGTAGCTCTGACGGGTCTGCTCGTGCTATGGTCCGCGCAACTATCTTTGTGTTCTGACGTGGACTGTCTGCCGAGATATTGCGAGGCTGTACGAGCAAGTTGTGTGAGAATATAAAAGGAAGATGGTTGTAATAGTTTCTGGGGGTAACAAGACAATGTGTGCTGCTTTCATCGTTGTTTGGTCGCTGTGAGTATGTCAGAGCAGCATCGTCTTGATTTGATATAATATGAGTGCTGTCCGACTACGTCAACCAAGCACGTTAAGATGAGTGCTGATCAGCATGTATTCAGAAAGGTATAATATGACAAGAACAGAGATGATGACAGAGGAAGGAGACTGCAGGCCACGAGCAGTTATGACAGTACCGGTTTAGAAAGCCCTATCGTGTGTGCCAGCATAGACGTTTTCAGACATGAAGTTTCCAAAGCCTCGCCCGAAAGTGTTCAAACACGGACATCGCGACGAGTCAATTGCTTGTTCAGCAGACTGAGAAAAGATAATCAACAACATCAATATCCATTGCGAACTTGCGAACGGGCCCCTTTCTTCACCCCCGGGCTGTTTACGATGAAAGAGGTAAGTCCGTCTTCAAAGTCCGCCGACCAGGTTGAAGAGCCTCCAAATCAAGAAGCAAAATGAAGTCAGACCAAGTCCCACACGATCGAAAGTTAACTGGAACACAAGGGGCCTTGATCCCCTCTTCTCTAAGCCTGCTTTAATTAGACGGTATGACGCCAATCACGCCGACATCAGCTCCTTTCTCCCATTTGTTTCGTTCGCCTTCACCCGGACCTTCCTTCTTAGTAGCGTGCCTACCTCAGAACCTGTTGTAACCTTAGACACGATGGCCTCAAGCTCGTCGTCCTTAGTCTCAGTACCTTTTTGGATGATATCGGCGGTCTCTGGAGAGAAGACTTGACTCAGAGACATCCAGATATTACCAAGGTAACTTGATCTAGTGAGCCTCAGAAAGAGTGTCATTGTAGTGATTAGCAAACCGAAATGGATACCGATGATGCTCATCACAATACCGAAGCCGAGCCACCGGACAGGAATGAGTTTCTCCTCGGCTAGAACGAAGGTCGCAGTGGATCCCATGTTGTAGTACGGCAGCTCCTCGTAGTATTTCATCTGCTCGAGGATGGTGAATAATTCCTGCAATGCTTCCGGGAGGCTCCCAGTCTCTCAAATGACATTTTGGAACAGGGATGCATGAGCGTAGTGTACAGCGCGGGTGGAATAACCCCCTACTTGCAATGTTCCGCAGGGGTTTAATTCATCAGTGATGTTGAGCGGCCCGCGGACGACGAAGGGCAGGTCACTGGCAACAGCAAAGAACCCTGTGACTGCCAAAGTGTCGACCGAGCCATTGCTCGTAACTGGATTGAAATCCCATGTGTCCTTCCATTCGAGACGAAGAATGCCGCGCTCTTCATGAGACATGATTTTGTCATCGACGCTGTGATATTGAATCCTAACACCGTCGGTGTTGTATTGGCTGGCGCGGCGATCCCAAGCTACGCTGCGTGGTATTCCGTTGGTCGTGCTGAACATTTTAACTTCTTCGATGGAGGCTCCGAAATTGGAGAAACACGCGCTGGTAGTCATGCCAATGGTGTCGTCTGCTGAGTCAAAACGTGTCCATACTCCCTCTGAGGATGAGTCCAGCCCTAGTTGATCGACAGTAGAATCCCACAAATGTGTGTTTGGGTTCTCTACGCCATGCTCCTGTACGCTCTTCCGCCAGTCATCTCCGACCCCGGTGCTGTTGAACACCAAGAAAAGGTTCGTCAATTGTAAGATGACGCCAGGGATCAGTCTCGGAGTAGACATGATACCTCCTAGAGCTAGAGCTCCCCCATTTACGGAACAGATGGATGCCTGCCAGTTGAGAGCGGTGTTATTGTGTTTAGTGGGGGCGACACAGTTGAAACTCCATGGACCGCCATCAAAATATTCCAAGGGAGAGCTCTGATCGTTGCCATCGACATTGAAAGTCAGATTACCGCGGATGAAAACGTCGCTGAGGTAGTCGTTATCATCGAAAGACTTGCTGGAATAGGAAAAGGTGACGTTGCTGAGCAAAGGTCTGTGACAGACGACCCTAGAATCTACGACAGTGGCCGGACCGTCATAATTTCGCAATCTCATGCGACTCTCTTCATTCACGAAGGGAAGAAAAGCACGCAAGAGTCTCCCTGTATCTTCAAAGTCGTCTGCTTCCTGAGCTGGAGTAGATATTCTTGGGTGTTCAGCAAACCGGAAGTATGTTCCAGGAGCTGAGTGCCAGACCTTCGAGCCACCCCAACTACCTTTGACTCCCTCGCTGTCCTTGTTGAGGTAATTCATACTGACGGATTGCCGAGGAGAGGTAATATTAACGTTCCCGAGATCGGAAAGGAGGATAGTTGACGTAAATTGTGAAATAGCTGTCAAAAGTACTGAGACTCCAACAGCGGCAGAGTAAACCCCACTCGTTCGCCAAGGAAGATTGAAGCTGGTAAAGGTGACGAGGTTGTAAGGTGACGCAGATATTGCTCTTAGCAAAGAGACTGCAGGTGCAGATGTTAAAGGAACCCCAGTCCTTTCTAACATGAGTGAGGCTGTCATCGCTGTAAATACACCCATCTGAAGTGATAGCATCACTCGAATAATAGCAGAGGAGACAGTGATAGCTCTCGAAGTCCAGTCGGAGAACACGATCAAATTCCACAGCCGGCCACGGTTAGTCTCGCTGGTCTCTGCTGCCATCGCGCCTTGCCAAAGGCATACGAGAAAGGAAACAGACACTAGAATGGATATTGTACCCAAAGATAGTATCAGGATGCCCATTATCCCGATAATACTCCAGTAGTTGCGAGTGGTATGGGGTCTCGATGGCTGCGTCCTCTGGCGGTCCAGAGATTCTTTGCCTTCGGACTTTGGACGTGATTGAGCCATCGCTTTCGTCTTCCGGGCATCGTCATCCTTTGCGTGGATCTCTGGTTCACTTTTTTCGACCGCTTGATAATGATTTGTTGTGATCGGCGGCCGTGTTCTTTCGTGCGCTGGGCGTGGCTGATCTGACGCCTTCATCTTTGGGATATTGTGGAATCAGATGCTGATGGACATGGGTGAGATTACCACAACACGATTGCGTGAAACAGGCTTTAAAGAAGAAGTTCTTCTCTATATGTCTGAGTCGGCTATGGAAAGTAGCTGGCCAAGTTCATTTTATTGTCGTGTCTCTTAGACCATAAGGAAATGCACAAGAAGATCATGCGCATGTCAGATAACCCCGTCGGGGATGATAGGCTCTTGCCTCATGCCACCTGCAGATGATATGTCCGCCATAATAATTTTTAGAATACATTCTACTCTTTCGAATTCGTAGGCCCGGAGGGTGTGGTACGTAAGACGCCCCCAAGATTGACATGGTCTTGGCTCCTACAACCATTTGTATTGGAGGATAGCGTAGGCAGACGAGGCGCATCGCTGCGCCAAGTGCATGGAAAATATATTGACTGCCATCCAACATTCCATTGTGGACTCGTCTGCGCCGCAGAAGGAGGCAGCTTTTGAAATGCACATGTGCTATTCAACAATGTGGAATCGAACCCTCTACTCACACAATATGAAACTAGATCTAGATGAGTAAAAAGAACGAGACAGGAAGAAACAAAGGCTTGCTTGCTGAGTTGGTTTTTCCAAAGCTGTTACACTAAGTGGCCAGTCAGTACAAATCAGAGTAGTTAAGCACAGGCACGGACAGTTCTCCTGTTCATGAAGAACGCGCAATATATGGCAGGAAATAATAATGATGAGCACTTTTTATGACGCTAAATGGGGCCGATAGCTGAACCAAAACTTTCGCGACACCTGAGTGTACAATAGGCACGAAGATTCTACGTCTTAAGTCTCTATTGGATCGGTGTTTTGTTCGTAGCTCGCCCAATTTTCAATACTTCTCTATCCTTGTCACGCCAACTACCAGCATGTCAGAGTCTTTGAATCTAAAGCCGGTCCTCTTGGGTATGTTTAATGTGACGTTAATTTTCCCACTCTTAAGATCTGTTATTACTACCAATCTGGTGTCATGAGGCAACGTGTCTGAGGCTATGAAGAAAGTGACCAGAGCAAACACATGATTGCCCTCTGTTCAGTAACACACATAGGCCAGACGTCTGGGAAAAAGATGGAAGAAGTCTCGAGTGATTGAATAGCGAAAAGCAGGTAAGGTCTCAAACCCAGATGAGGTAGGTTTCCAGAGCAGATTAGATTACTAACTCCTATTTAATCTAAATCCGGAATTTGGTTCGTGAATCATGACACCAAGCAGAGCAGACACTATAAACCAAGATCAGGCTGAGCTGACTGGGGTGTTGTGCGCGTGGAGATATGTAACACAGCTGCAGCAAATCCCATAGCCCGCATTCACAACCAATACAAGCTGGCCACGATGCATATTGGCTGCAATATGCAGTTTAGCGCTGACCAAGGCCAAGAAGATAGACTTGCTGCAGCTGTTGCCTCGCGGGAGCCCGCCCCTTAAAGCTACCTTGAAGCAATAAATCTATTCTAGGATCGGTTCTCACACTCACCCCTCTTCGCAAATGCCATCTTCGCAACAAGTACAGAGGCCCGCCGAAAGACTCGTTCACATGGCGAGCGACATCAAACTATCGACTCAAGATGATCTTGACGTCATCTGGAACAAATTTGAAAGTTTATAAGATTGCAAAGTAATTTAAGGGACTGTCCGCAGATGTTTTCCAATGATTCAAGAGTCAGGCTAACACTAAGCTGTAGATCGAAAAAAACTCTGTGCTTTGCCGTTTCTCAGTGGTCAGCTCCAATATAAGATGCAACATTGGCCCTCCCAGGATGAGTTAAGGTGGATTCAGTCCATCATGAAGGAATATAGTTGCACCGAAGACTTCAAATCTCTCATCATGTGGCTTCGTCCTGTCTTACCCGGCGCTCAAGGTCGCGTTTCTCCCCATATATACCACATTTGGTTTTCTCGGCTCAAAACATCTGTTTTTGATCGTTCCAAGAAGTTCACCGACGGAACTTCTTCGTCGATTAATAACCAACGATGTTTTGTGTAGATCATGTTATTGCCGTATTTGTGAACCATGATGTGGCACTCGAAATGTGTTCAAACTTTCATAGATGTAGAGTAATACCTCCATCTTGAGTCAAATGTGAAAAGATTGGGACTGATTGGCGCTGGTTTAGCCTGTCGTCGCTCTCATTATTCATAAAAAAAACCTTTTATGTGTTGGTCTATCTGAGATAGAGATCTTATTGCGATGAGGCAACAAGTATAAAGTCTGTTTCTGTTGCGATAGCCGTGGGAATATTGAGGTAATCCTAGTCATGAATGGACGCAACGTCGACTAGACTATGAATACGAGATTTACGTGCGCTAAGTGTGTTGACAAAGGCTGACTCGATGGCTGCACTGCTCGAATCTGAATACCACGTACATAATCTAGATATCTAGGGCAGCAATAGAAGGCTTCATTATTGAAAGTCGGCGAGACATGATTTGTGTAACCGGATGAGAACATCATTCTTGCAGCTAGCCTGCTCTCGTCGACAGAGAGGACGTTCGCTCTGAAACGCAATTTCTGGGTTGTGATCTAACACTTCGGGTCAGCACCTACCCATAATACAGACCGGCACTCCAGACAGCCCAGAAAAGTCAGCATTGCAACTTGTCTTGTCAACCCGCCGGCGATTCCCGCTCTTGGAGCACCCGGTGTTACAAATAAGACCTGCAACACTGTATCACATCGACATAGAGATACACGTCAATATCACCCCGATCATGTTACAGATTTAGCCGTCCACTTTGTATGAGGCGAGGTCTCTGAAATCCAGCATTAATACAACAACGAAGGCGTGGTAATGTCGATCCAGGCCTGTGTCTCTGTCGCCTCAATCCAGTGTATGCATGGTAATATCCGGACCTCAGTAAAAAGCAGAAGCGGCGCAAAAAACAAGCCAATACGTACGGATTTTGACACAACGGTTGCAATGGCACACGTGACGGATATCGGGGGCTGTTGTTGCTTGTAGATGAAAAACGGAAGTATTATCGCAAAATTGCTGTGTTGGAAAGAGGAGCAGCTCTGGCTGAGCAAGGGATCTTTTATAGCCCCCATCAGTGCTGATAGCCAGCTGGCAGGCTTGTGGTACATAAAAACACGAGTCCTGCATAGGCTACTGCATCCAGGACGATGATCAAAGGCTCAAAGGGCCAAGGGGCGAGGGCGGGCGAGGTCTGCCTCATGCCACCAGTTGAGGTATACTTCCCTTAACTAGGTCGTCTTCCGTCACCAAGCAAAGGACGCAGAGGCAGCTCATTTTTGGTTTGTCTCTAGAACTTTGGAAGCAAAGAGTCTGCATCAGAGTACCTATTAGCACTCTACGTGGCCCTGGGAACACCTGAATCACATTGTTGCCCGCGCAAAGCGTTGGAGGTGGTTTACACCATGCCCAAGCTATCTGTGTGTTATCACAAGGCCATGCGGGATTAGTTTCTGATGAGACAGCAGCCGACGACAATTTCGTGTGAAGCTATTGCGCAGAAGTCTGTATCGCATTATAAGACACTGTGTCTGTGAAGTCCGGCATGTCTGAGTCAACGAAAGCAGTGAACGGCCAGTTCACCAACGCTCGGCACCTCTGTCGTCTCCTGCTTGTCTATCGTGGTATATGGCCGGACTCAGAAGCAGAAATAGTACATACACAGCGTATGCATATGGACGTATGGACGTTCACGTTACCAGTAGCCAGCCCACAACTATGCAGACGCATCGACTCCTCAACATTGTCTGTCTTCAAGGGGGGCTTTCCACATCAGTCACAGAAGCTGATTTTAACAGCTCGAGGAAGGAGCTGCTTGCCCGGTCAGAGGACACCTGCAAATGTTGCGTTAGACAGGTAGTCTCAGCCCAAATCAAAGCGACGCATGTGTGCCACATCATGGTTGACACAAGGCCGAAAAGGTTGGAGCAATGTATATAAATAACACGAAGCTATGGATATACTGTTTCTGGAACAAATGTAATGACCAGCCTCCTCTTCGTTTAAAATCTGGAATTTGGTTGGTGAATCCAGACACCAAAGCAGGGCAGAGAGCATCTGCTTGCTGCAGGATCGGCTCGGAGGAAGTAGACTACCGATGTTCTTGCCCAATGATTCTCTACGGATATACGCAAGATAGAGAGTGCGAAGCCTTCGCTGTATAAATCAGCCAAGACTGGATGCTCCTAGCGCAAGGCTGTGATTTCGGAATCTAGGATCGAGAACACAGTCATGTCGACCACCATTCTTGGTGCAATCATTTCCAGAACCCCGCCCGCGTTCCTCGTATGTACGCTTCTGGCCAAGAGAGTCCAACTGGATACGTAGATTCTTCATAAGTAGTATTCTCCGAGGAAGACTTTGGTTCCCAGCAAATGCCCTCTTCTGACTGGCGGTTTTGGAATCTGCAAATGAACCGAGAGAGTACAACAACACAAAGAAAACAAGAAAATGCGTTCTTGTAAGAAGTTCAGTAAAATTATGCTTCTGACTAGAATTCCCATGAAATACTCGAGGAAGGGACATCCAGGATGACGACGGAGGTATCCCGTGCCTTGAAAAAAGGGAAGCGGAGACAGCAAAGGGAGACGACCTGTGGAACTATCGCGCCTGCGAGGAGCTGGCTTCAGTCAGTATTCGCTCAGTCTTCCATTCTAAGGAATTCCAAGACCGAGTTTATTGCTCGGGAGTAACATTAGGAACTGCCGCTAGCCTGCAATATATGCTGACACCACAGATAATCAACGAGTCTCTGA